AAGAGCCTGAGCGTGTGTATGTGTATGTGTGTGTGAGGAGTCGAAAGGGCCCGCTGTGAAGGGACTCCGGTCCTAGCAGTTAAAGTCTTGGCTGACGTGTGTGCGACTCCTTGATCGGTGTGTGAATGCTGGGGCAGCATCTTCTCCCTTGACAAGGGGACAAGTCACAAAGAGTATGGCTATAAATTGCTGCAATTCTCATTTTCCTTGCACTGTCTGCCCACTCCAATTCTGCATGAGGATGTTACAGTTAGTTTTCACATCCACTGAACACCAAGCCGTTATGAGTTACATTGTTTTGTCATTCCTAGAGTCACCTACTCTCTTTTCCAATAAACTCATACCCATTCTGCAATATCCGCAGCTATTTTTGTCACTAGTGAATGTGTCTGGGAGACTACTGCCCCAGCCAGCTTATACAATTAAAGGCAAAAAAAGAACCATATTCTTCCTGCAACTGAAATGCAAAACATGCCACATGTTTAATGCACATTTTGTCATAGACACCACCTAACACATTACTCAAACCTTGGTTTACATCTGCAAACACAAACAGGGAAGAGACAGACGCATGATACTTGCCAGCCTAAACCATGGGATCTCTGTGGAATGCTGAAGCACCAGCCCAGCTCCTACAAGGGAGCGTGTACAAAATGGAGAGTTGGTATCAGGAGTTCATTAAATTTTGTAAAGGTGTAAAGATTAAATAACATCTGTTTGACTTTATCCTTGCACCTAATTGCAGATAATAAATACACATTAAAAAAATCATTAACACATATTGCATTAAATCCTCATATTCTGGGCAAACTCCTTCCTATGAGTACCTACTTCCACCATGTTACCAAAATGCACACTCCACCTGGTACAGAATCTTGTACAAAATTATTAGGTTACCAGTACATAGACATGCTTTAACCTTTCTTCATGAGAGATGTAACAATGCACATACTGCTTGACTGTATTTACTAGAATTTTTCCTGATGGAATAAACTTGTTCTTTTGTCAACACGCCTTTTTTTTTTTTTTTAATCTTTAATTTCTTCCCTATGAATCTGTTCTGGGATTCAGACAAGCATCTTTAAGATGTTTGTAAAGGGCAGAGGATGAATCCAGAACCCTCCCTTTGTCAGCCACAAATGTCCTTCTGGTGTCATGCCTCCATGATGCGCAAGTGACCTCACCTTTTTATGAGCCCTTACAGGCACTCACAGGCCTTGCATGTTGCTGAGCCCAATGCTGTGGAGGCTTCCTAAGCGACTGCACCTAAGGAGTTGGTAAAAATAAGTTGTGAAAGGTACAGAAGAATGTCAATGAGTCCTCCACTCCATCCCAGAGCTGGCATATCAGACCATCTTCTGTTTCCACAGAGCCATTACACAAAAGCCCTCAGCCTTCAGGCAGGATTCACCCCCTTGTTCAGACACTCAGCGTACCACCCAAAGCATTTGATGGACTGCACATAGTTTGCATAGCTTTTTTTTTTCTACATAGTTGTTTAAACTATAGAAATTTGCACAAAGAAATTGAAGTGAGCTGTTAAAATGGAAAATACATCTTTTTCATACAGTTTTAAAATACAGATTCAAAACATCAAACACATTTACTTACTATTTTTCCTTAGTTATCATTAAACTAATGACAATTGCTCTCATTCTTGTATTTAACCCAGAAAGTATGTCCTTAACAAACTGCAAGATGACATAATAAAATATTATATCAAATTCAGGACAAAAAAACCTTGTCATTGTGCAATAGTGACCAGCAATTAAGACAGATAAGAATCCTAATCCAGTATGTCATAAAACCATTAGGTAATTCCAGGGACAGTGATCAGCACAATAAATTTGCACTAAGATAGAGATGACAAATACAAACATGAAAGAACTTAAGGGCGCAGATAAGAAACTATGAAAAGGAATTCTTTTTACGGGCAGCGAGAGGAAAATATGCTCCACAGGAACAGAAGCATTTGTTCTCAAACTCAATGCTCTTTTGCAAGAGGATTTAGATAATCCATGAATATTTAAGAGAAAGAAATCAACTCACCCTGTCTATGCTACGTTTATAATGTATGACTAGTGTTAAACATATTTTTGTCCATATGGAAAAAGAGAGCAAACAGAAATGCTAGAGACATATAGACACGTGCTGTTTCCTTTTTTATAGTAATATGCTGCCTCAGGTTAAAGAGTAGGATACACCAAGGCATCCTCTAAGCTATTCATGCAGGAAATCACAAAATGTGTACCTGTAGATCGATAAACTTGCTATTTCCACAGAAAAAAGTAACATCATTAGTTCAGGGAAATTCAGGTCTCATTTGAATCAAAGACCAAATACAAACTGACTTCAGTGGCAGGAGAACTGGCTTTTGGGGTTAAAAGCCATCAAGCTACATTGTGTTTTAACATCATCACTAAATTTTAGCCTGTTATCATTGCTCAGTGTCATTGTGCATTTAATGTTTTGCTTTTTTCTTTTTTTCTTTACCTTATGTATATCTATTACAGATGACCAGGTCCTGAATCCCTCAAGTCAAAGTAACACAGAACATGCATTGACTGTTCTTAGCAGGGTAACCACCAAATCATTTACTCGGCAGGTAAGGATGTAGAAAAATTAATTTTAATTGTTCTTTAGTACCTTGTTCAAAGTAGACTGTACTGTCCTCAATACTCAAGACTAAGGAGTTTAAGATAGGATCTTGTACTAATAAAAGAGGGAGTAGCCGTGTGAAAGAACCCCAAAATTATGCAATTACTTGGAGCAATGTGGGGGGGTGGTTGTAATGTCAGACAGTACCAGTTTAATTCCTTGTTAGGTGTATTGCATGATGTTTTCTTTTTTAGCAAGGTTAAACCCTTGTTTAAGGCAGGGCATGCAGGGTTTGGCAATAGGTCTTGCAGATAAGGAGAGTTGTTCTGCTCTGGGAAGTGGAGGGTGATGTGAAAGCAGTGGAAGAATACTAGGTCTGCTCTTCAGCAAAATAAAAAGCCACAGCATGTGAGTAATCCTATCTTTAGTCATCGAAGTATGTATTCAAGTTGTTCTCTGAATAATGATGGGATTACTCACGCGGGTAAGGTTAAGCACATGCTTTTGCTGAACTAATGTATCTGGACAGAAGCCATACTATTCTACACAGTTCTCTTCAGAGGTTTCCTCTGCAACTACTGGAATACCCACAGAATTGAAAGGAGCATAAAAATTCCTTTCTGCTTTACATATAATTACCACACACAAACTCCCTGAACTTAAACTTAGTGATTTTTGCTTGCTTTGAAGCATGTTAGTCCTCATGTAGGATACAATTTTTTCCTAATACCAGGACCAAAATGCTACCTGACACTCTAGGACAGTGCAGTGAAGGAAAAAGTCTTTTATAAGGGCATATAAACCATTATTCTGGTTTCAGAGTAATTGAAACCAGTATGACTGTGCAGACATAATTGAAAAATGTAACCATTAAGCTCTACAGCATATAGAATATTTATCTACAGTAATATAGATGTCTTATTTTTGGGTACATGACAAAGAAGTAAACAAGGAAGACTTGTTATGATGAGATTGTACCAGCTAGCATGAGATCAGGTTCCTAAGATGAGAAAAACTCTGATTTCAAACCAAGGATGACAAGGTTCACGCAGCCCAGGCAAGAGAGGAACTGTCTGAACCTCGACACGCAGAAGGTTCCTCTGCTGCTCCCCTCAAATCAAGGGTGACACAGCAAAGAGTATACAGATCCTCAGGCAAGGAATAAACCCCTAGGTCTGGAGGTAGACTGAAAAAGGGGAGGTGGGACAGAAAGCCATAGAAGTAGCAGCCAGAATGATGCATTCCTATCTATCAGTTTTCTGTGGTCCACAGTCATAAGGCAGAATCCCTACACCAGCAAGTAAGTGTTGATGCACACATGAGGTGTAGGAACAGTGGGACATCCAGAGACACTTTGACTAAAACTACTAGAGTAACTGGTAACTCTTCTACTGATCAGTGTCCTCCAGCTACCATTTTTTAAAATTATACTTTTATAACTAATTTTGTGTGGTATAAGGAAAAAATGAGCTACAGACAGCTTATCTATGAGAAAAATCATGTGTAGATACCGTGTCTACTAAACATTTGTTAATAACTAAGTCCACCTCTGTGCAGAGCGCCTGAATAAGATCCATATGCTGTTTATTCTTTTCCACTGAGGACTAAGAAGGCCTGGATGGAGGCATTTAGCAAAGTTGCTTGTGTAGCTCTTAAAATTATGAACAATCTGATGCTAGATCTGAGCTGAAATAAGTGAGAAGGGGAGCACTGAAATAACAGTCTGTAATGAATACAGCTTCCAAAGGCATCAGGCATTTTAGTTTTAACAAAACTAAGAAGAACTTACTAAGACAGCAGTAGATCCAGTGAACATTTTTTTTCTAAACCACTAAGAAAAATACATTTGCCATTCAACAGAATGAATATACAAACTATTCGCACATTTTGCAAACTTAGTATTATTTTTTCAGTCAGAAGCTGTTTCACAGAATACTTTTCTTTGTTAGCAATGGCAACTTTTCTAGTAGAAAACTTGAAGAAAAGAATAAATTAGTTTAAAATTATTTATATGGCTTGATACAATGTTAAGGCTTCTCTCTTGAATTACAACTGTCTGAGTTTACCATGTTTCGAAGTCTCGAGCCTGTAATTGTCTGCTGCAAGAGGACGAGTGTGGACAGGACACTTTGTGGTGGGTATACAAATCTAACTGCAGAAAATGTGAAGCAAAGAATTGGCACGTTTTTTACATATGGTAGGTTCTAACACTTAGAGTAATCATTCCAACTGGTCACAGCAAGTCAAATAGATAGGTTTTCTAAAGCCTGTGTAAGTTTGACAAGGGATCAAGAAATCCTATCAAAATTTTCTGCAGTACCTCAGTTATCTGGAAAAGGTTTTATATACTTGCTCTGTCAAAAAGGCAAGACTGCATACAAATTAAAAGGCACAGATATTACAGAACAGTCACATTTCTTGAATAAAAATATCTGATAAATTAGATAATGATTAAAATTGGGAACACCCATTTTGCTGTCGCTTTATTTCTCAGTGCTGACTGTTTCTTGACCAAACATCTCTATCTTTTCTAATGCCGCACCACTGTGTGCTGGAGGAGTCTTTCCTGAATAACTTTTCTTCTTTCTTCCCATTTCTGTAGCTTCCACCAAAGTATTAGTCAATGGTTTTCCCAGTGTTTCTGGAAGCATCATTGTTAATATTCCACTCAGAAGAGCCATGATTCCAACAAGCAACTAGAAGAAATAAACAGTAGCTGTAAAGGTAGAAATGTCTTTCAAGTTATGCAACTCTTCAATCTTGCTGGAGAGTACATTTTAAATAAAGCACAAGTAACGGTAATGTAAAGCAAAGATTGTAAGTCTTAAATAGTAACTCTATAAAAGATCTGCCTTTTTTTGTTGCATAAATGAAAGATTATGCAGAAGAATTGGCGAAGATCAGGTGAGGTGTTTTGTTCCAGAAGGGATCGATACAGTGCAAACAGGAATAATTCTGTTTGAGAAAACAACACATCTCTTCATTTGGTATTTCTACTATCAGGTATGTATTTAAGAACTGATTCTCTAGGATTGCATACATTTATTTTTACATGCATGTTTGTAGAGCTACAATTACCCTGCCACCTGTAATCTCAATTTGCACTTGAGCTCCTGAACCTATTCCCCCTGTACCTGTGTGCCTGTTCCTCCTGCACACAGACAGATCAGAATTGCTCAGTATGGATCGTTGGCCTGGAGCCACAGAAGTACACCTCCCTGCTCAGAAGAACACTTCAGCAGATAATGAGCTAGCTCTAAACAGGAATACTTTGCTAAACTGCAGTTTCAAAGACCTGTTAGGGGCGCAGGCATCTACTGACATTTGCACTGGGATCACATCTTGGATTTGTCCATGGTGTACACAGTTCTGTAATGACCACTTACTTCAGCACGAGTGGTGCAAAGATCAGGATCATGTGGGGTAGATACAGAAGCACACACATGCTCCAGGAGTATCTTTCCTTTCCCTTCATTTCTGTGTCTTGTTCAATGAGAACAATTCACACTTTCCTCCTTTGAAGTATAAGGACAGCATTAAAACCCTGACACTCTTCCAACGCCAGGTTATAAATGACCCAAATCTCTCTTGATACAAATGCTTCCACACAGTACCTCATGCCTGGCCCCAGTGTTTTTCCATTTTATGACTGTGCACTTTGATAATGTATTATCCTTATCTTGCCCTATGCTGATTCTCTCAGGTCTGTCCTGTTTGTTTAATGCTTTCTTTCCAAGTGTGAGAGAGAGCATGTGGAATTACTATGCCTATGTCTCTCACACACTGTCTCACTTTGAGGCAAGAACTGGCCAGCTACCATCTGCAGCTAAGCCAGACTTCCTCTTCAAGTCAGAAAAGTGCTTTAAAATTGGAATTTTCCATTGTAACCTTGAATAATGCTATTTTCATGCACATGCACCATGCTGCTTTTGCTTCCCCTCCCGTCCAAAAGAAGAAGACAGCTTGCCTCGAGCACGCTTTTGAGAAGTAGAATTCACACTGTTGCATACACTCCTCTTTTTGCATTTGCATTAAATATAGAGGTTGACAAAATGAAAAATTAAGCAAAATACTGTTGAATACTACAAACTACAGTGAAAATAAAATAGTCATGCTCTTATCATGAGAAATTAAAAAAAAAAATCCTAGAAGTAATAGGACCAGAGGAAATGGCACTGAGTGACAAACTGAGGGAAATCCTTGTAGGCATATATATGTGGCAGGAGTGATATTTAAAAATATATTCCAAAATATTGAAGTCTCACCTCTGCATGTCAAAACTCTTCACCACTATTAATACATTTTTTTCTGCCATGGCAAGACAGGACAAATTGACACATGGCAGTTATTCCCACAGTAGCCTCTCTTATGCACAACCTTTATGTTGTCACAAGTTTATATTTGAGGATATTGAGGGCTATAAAGGATATTGAAGCTTACAGACACCCATACGTTTGGAGTTTATGAAAACAGCGCCACTACTGCTGCCCAACAGCACAAGGTTAAAGCAACACTGTGTGCTTTGAGTATGTGTGTCTTCTCTGTTTCGGTAAGTCTTTTAGACACTTTGCATTCTTCCCAGGTTTTCCTTCCTTATCAACCTACCTCTCATTCCCCCGCAAACTCTCACTATTTTGTAAGCGTACACACCACCATCTTTCCTGCCTTTTCATCTCAGCTCTCTTAACTCTATTCTATCACGTGTTAGCTTTCTTTTTTTCAATGTGAAAGGTGATGCATGCCAACTAATTCAGTGTGTTTCCCTTCTCCCTGGCCCTACAAAGCATTTTCCAATATTTCCTATGAAAGACAGGATATGAAACAATTACATCACAGTATATTAATGAAAGAACTTCTTAAATGTCATCTGCCTTTTCAGGGGCAGTAACCACACTTATCAGTGAAGTTACTCACATTTAGTCAAAGCAAGTCTTTGACTCAAGTCTTATCTTGGCATACTTCTTCATGAGGCACCTGACATAATTTATCTCCTTGCTAGCTCATAACAAACGTGTACATTTTGTATATATGTACTATTTTACATAGGTAATTCAGCATCAGAAAATGTTCTTCTGATATAGTCAATGAGTTAAATTCTTATGGATTAAAGTGTACTATTGTACAAAGTATTTAAATATGTTTAAGCTCCACTGAAGTTAATTTGACAGGAGTAGGATCTTAATTTCAAATCTGACTTTCTGCTCAGTCAAACTCTCAAAGTATTCCCAACACATCAGTACAGCTAGCAGCTTCTAACAGCTACCATAACTAACTTCAAAAAAAGATTTACCACCATTTTTCATACATCTTCCTCCCTACCTGGAGCAACAATTTTAATTTCACAGTGGTCTAAGACCAGAAGTCAATATATTTAGTCTAGCACAAAAGACACTTTGAATTAAATATCCCTACAAAATAATACTTTTGCTTCTGAGAACAAATGTTTATTCTAGTCTGCTATTTATATTTATATCCACACCTCACGGCTATGAACCAATCTAAAATATGGTCTTATTTACAAAATTCCTACTTCAACAAAAAAGGTTATGTTTTGTCTTGAAAATCCAGTAGTATTAGACACAAGATTTGCATTCATTTAACTTCACTGACCTCAGTGGAGGTTTTTTTTCATTTATAATTTATCTGACAGAAAAATCAAGTCTGTTAAAGTGCTACTGTAACATAATACTTAACAGCTGAGAAACAGAAATAGGTTATACATGGAGCAGTTGCTTTACTGTAAGTTTTTTAGAAAGTTGTCAAATAAAAAACATACTTGGCAAGTTATTCAAGATGTATAGGCATACAAATGAGATGCACTACTCAGGTGGCATAACTGTATGGGAGGCAGACTGTCAAACAAATAGCAGTATTAACTGCTTGACTGTATACAATAGATCAACACGATGTATATCATTTTACTTATAAATGTAATCCATTTCATTTCCATTCCAAAACACGTTACCTGAGACTTGGCACGCTATGCTCCAAATCAAGACAAGACTATTTAATAAACTGACAAATGTTTTGTAATAGGAGCTAATAATGAAAACATATTCATTGTGAACTACTACACAACTCTACAAATACTCTGGATACTTTTTGTACACTAAGAGTTATTCCTAGCTGAAATAATTCTTCTGTTTATACTGCCATTTGCACTGCTCTCCAATGTTTGATCATTCCCCATCTGTGGTTTAACTGCAGCACTTCTGCACAGATAAAGCTTATCTCAGCCAGTAAAGGCAAAACACTGACAAGAGAAAAAGAATGTTCTCGCATGACCACTCTGTCGTACAAATGTTTCTTCTTCTTTTCTGGGATGATATCTTGATTTGTAGGGGGCCATTATGCAGAAAGAAAACATTTTTTAGGAGCTTGAGGGAATAAATTAATTTGTGGTCTGCTTCATCCTCTTAACTTTCATCCAAAACAACTGCAAGTAATTAACTTAAATAATGAAACGAGTTCCCAAGAATTCTCTGAAACCAATCTCTAGCATCTATAATTTAAGATTTTATAGTTGCAAAATCAAAAGGACACAATGCCACTTTTTCAAGAAATTCCAATGTGGTAGACAAAATCAGAGTTAGAATCTAAGTGAAAGACACGTCTCATTACATTTTCACCTTCTGACATGTGTAATCTACATATAACATTGGTGCACTAGTCACAGTGAATTCTAAGGGTTTTTGAAAGAACTCAAACTATTATTAAATCATTAATAAAAACTTCTCTACTTAAAGCTTTAACACAAACTTTGTAATTCCTTCTGTTTTTACATATATGGGCATGAATTATCCTTCAGGAGTAAAAAAGGGACTGCATAGCTGCAGGATTTCTAAGTAGCAAATGCCTCATAACATACATGTAATGAAGGAATGTGATTAATTTGTGAGCAGGAAATACATAACATATTTTGTCCAAAATGGATTTGAAGCTACATAATGCAGACAAAATGCCCAAAGTCCACAAAGGAACAGTCCCACCTCTGTTTTCTTGGGGCAGCTGGAGGTAGAAGAAACCTAATAGTACCATGACCTGGAGTCACCTACAAGTAGAATGTGCTTAATGAATCCAAGGTTCTGTTGTTTGTCAAAGTCATCCTGAACCTCATCAATCCAAGTTCAGCTTTTGTTTCCTGAGAAAACAAGTGACACGCCTTTTCAAAACCACAAACATTGACCACTGAAATAAATACTTACAAGTGGCATGAAAATCCAAACACTTCTCAGATATACACAGAAAGGAGCAACTACACTTCCTACACGGCACATCATACTCCCACTTCCAACAGCAAGTGACCTACACATAAAACAAAGACTTTGGTAAGAATTCTGGCAGATAAAGCAAACAATTAGAAATGCACAGACACTCAAAACATCAGTAAGATGATATATGTCTTTATGCAATGGTACTAGGAAGCTATTGTATGCATTTTGCTACTATTTACAGTGGAATATTTAATATTACAGTGGAATATTTAATATAATACAGTGTAATATTGCTACTATTTACAGTGAAAATTTATATTGCAATGAAATTCAGCTGCTTCTATAATTAAGATTAAAATACATTAAGATTAAAAATACAACAATCATTCAGCAGAGACCACAGGATGAACAACCAGGACTTTTAAGAAAGGCATAAATAAGTGTTTAAGAACGTATTGAGTGCTCTTCTAGTTCCTCAGTGAAACCAAAGAATGCACATGGAAATGAAAAATAAATACAAATTTATTATACAGCTAAATACTAGACAGCTCTGAAGCAGCAGAGGAACTCAACCCATCCCAAGTCTTTCAGACCACCACCACTAATGCGAAGAGCTGCGGGACCTGGCCTAGGAGCATAACAAAGAAAAGGAAATAACAGCAAAATAATGAAAGATATATGACTGGGGAAAGTTCTTACCTTACAATTGTTGGGTACAGTTCTGCTGTGTAGAGATATATAAGACCAAATGCCACACCTATTGAAAATTTTCCAGCCATATTTGCTAAGATAACTAATATATTGAAATCCTATTGAAAGAGAGCATGAATAAATGAATCACCAGAAAATAACACTGTTCCAGACTTAATTTAAATCCTTCAAAAGTTGTGACCCTTCTTTAAACAAGAAGCAATACTTATTGCTTGCTATTTTAAAATCGGTCTCAAGAAGCAACCAGTGTCCATATAACTTTTTACCAGTCCTGGTTCACTGAAGCCCTGGGAACATTTTACATGTGACTCCAGCAATGAAACTGTGAAACCTGTACTGAAAATACAGAAATCTATCTTAGACTGGCAGCTGCATTTTAAAAACAGCCTTTAATCAACTATATGATTTAGAAAGAGCAGCTGCATCTACAGACTTTAAAATCAATTTCTGCTATAGGAACACTTTCAACGGTACGTGACTAACCTGAGGTATGAACATAATTAAAACACAGATCAGTGCACTTAAAATAAGGAACGGAATGAGTGTGTTTCTCCTTCCCAGTTTGTCCATCCCAATGCAAGCAATGATATAGCAAGGCAACTCCACAGCACCTGTCAGTATGAAATTATTTTGTTTTAAGTCATGATTACACATATTCATGTTATAACTCTACTTCCTCTTTATGGGGATTCATTTCATCTAGGGGGTAATAAATAAGTGAAATCTAGAGATAACCAGTGTGTTGGGTGTGTTCATTTGGTAACAGAAATGGTAACAGAAGGCAGAAAGCATGGCCTAAAATACGGCAGTGGGGGATGGAGAAGGACAAGGGAAGCAGGTTTCACAGCACAGAGCAGCTGCAGTTCTCTTTGGGGTGGAAAATTACAGAAAACAGCAAGGCCACGGTCCTGCTTTTATGACACTGGCACTTGCGACTGAAAGCTCTCCGTTTGCTGCTCTTTCGCTTCAGGTTTTTTCACGTCAACAGCTTAAATGTGCCCATGAGGAATATTGCTGGTGTCACACCGACACACCTCACAGGATTTGCCAGCTTCCACCGGGACACGGCACTGAAGCCACAGGTGCCTTCCCCAGCTTCAGCCCCAAATCACCCCAAGGGAAAAGGCAAGCAAGGTCTCTCCAGGGCCGGTGTTCTGTCAGCTCCACAAATACAGAGTGTAGTTCCAGCTTTCTCTCTTCTCCATTAAAAAGAGGGAAGCTGCCTACAATATCCCACTCCTACTCAGATCATCCCTTCCTAGTGTCTCTTTCCAGAGGAAAACTTCTGCCGCTCTAAAGGAACTGGTGTTTGGCTAGGAATGTTCACAAATCCTGTGTAAACATGATTTGCTCCTAGACAAATTACACTGAGCCAGTTCTGACATGTTTTAAATCAACTTGCTCATGAAGAATGCTACTAAGGCCAATGTAAAATCAAGGAAGAATGTAAGATAAAGCCCTGACAAATATGCTGCATTCCTTTACTAAGCACTAAGCACTGTACTTTAGTAAGTATAGTATGTCAATACACTTATAATATCAGGTAACAATCTTTTGGGCCTGTGTTGGTAAAACTAGGTTGTCATTATTCAGTGTATATTAGTCTGCTAAAATATTTTTGAAGGAGGCAGATACAGTGATTTATGCATTGTACTCCATAACATTTTCATTCTTGTGCAATAGTAGCATCCACTCTTCAACATGTCAGTCTACCAATATGCTGTAATACATGACAACACAAACTGAATTCACGAGGGCCCCGATCCTTCTGTCTGCTTATGTACATGAACAGTCACATTCACTTTACTGAGAGCACTCAGTTGCATAAAGCAAAGCACATGATTTAATTCTTTGCTGGCTCACAGCTGCGTGTCTGATCTAGAGTCTTCTGAAGCCAATGGAATATTTCCACTGATCTTAACAAACTCTGGATCAGGCCATGAATGCACTGAGCCACCTTTATAAACAACTTACATTCCAGAGGAAGATTACAGTCAGACAGACAAAATTTAAAGAATACTATAACCAAATTAAAATATACTGTTGAGAAAACTAAAATTACTCTTGCTTCTGAGAATTACGAATCTATTTTCTACATAGACTGACTCAATATATCATGATTGTAAATGATTAGAGGAATATTTTTTTCTCTCATTTTCCAAGTTTGTGCCTTTAACAGAGCCGTGTGCATTTTGTGTTGATGGTCGTCTTCTTTGGTGTTTGCGTGGATCTACTATAGGCTTGCAGGGCAAAAAGGATACAAGCAGAATATGGTTTTACAATCACAAAGGCAGACAGAGAAGTACTTTGTACACCAACAAATTTTAAATTATCTTTTTTTTTTCAGAAACAGTGAGATTTGGAGTGAATGATACTCCTCCCTTCTTAGTCAACTTTATGAAGAGTTAGCAAGAAACCTTTTGAACAAGTTTCATAATTGAATGAACAAAGTTAAAAAAATGGCTATCAATTCTCTAGACATTTCTAAATTTTATGTTCTAGTTCTGTCATAAACAGAATAAAGTACAAAAATATTTACCTATGAGAAAGAGATTTAAATATTCATTGCCTCCTAGATTGACGGAACTGAGGGAGAAGACATAGTATCCCAAGCTCCCAGTGAACCAGATCAGCCAGACTGTGATGGTCCTTCTTGCAATGTGCCAATTACAAAACAGATCTAAGATGTTGTGCTTCTTTGTTGAGGATGTGTCATTGTCACCGCTTCTGCCACCCACTAGATCATCTTGTTGGACTGAACACAGTTCAGAAACTTTGCAGGGAGTGCTTACTCTATTCCATCTTGCCATTATATTAATTACTTTTTCTGTATCTTCATATCTTTCCTCTGACAGGAGCCAAAAAGGTGTTTCTGGGAGCATCCAGCAGCATAAGACAAAGGGAAGAGTTGCTATGGAGAGAAATATCTGATAGACCCACCAGGTCCGAACCAAAAATCCCACGAGTGCAACAATCATAATTCCCACAGCAAAAAAAGCATGGACATGCATAGAAGCCCAGGTTCGTGCTTTAATGCCAACAAATTCAGTCACATAAACAAAAGCCACCACCAGATAGCCACTTGAGACCTGGAGGGGTGGGAGAGAAAAAAAAAAAAAGAGTGAGGTTTGTATCTACACTCCTTGTGCAACAGCAATAAAAACAAACAGCTAACAGTGTTCCACATTTGTATATGCTTAATTGCCACTGCACTGGCATGTCCCATACTGACAGAAAAAAAGGCAACCCTGCAAACAAGTCAGATGGAGAAAAAGTTCACTCAAACCTTCAGACTGCCCAGACACTGTATTTAAAAATGTGAAATGATTTTGGATGCTTCTCTTCAGTGGAGGGGAGCCAGCAAGAGACACCTGAAAAAGAGCCTAATTTGCTGATGTCACTAAGCCCTTCACCCCCAAAGATCAGGTCCCTTAATGATATCGCAAACTGGATGCTCAGGAAAATGAAGTTCCCCAAAGAAGTTGCCACTTCTGAAAATCTTGACCTTGGCTTTTAAGTAGACAATAATCTGTATGTTAGGGAACTGCAAATTTACTGAGCATTACCTTCCAAACCCTTGTAAATTATCTCATTATATCAAATTTTTACAATGTTGGAAGAAAATCTCATGTATGTGAGGTAATAGGTTCTCATACATTATCCAGTGAATGCTATTACTGGCATGTTCTGCATTATAGTATTTCTTCATTGAATTTTTTTCTTTAATTTCTCTAGCAACAGTCAAACTCTTGGTATCTCAAAACATTTCAAAACACAGCTAGAAAATCTAGACTAGAAAATATGCCAGTATATTGCCTTGATTAATCAAGTTTCTGGTTAAAAACATTCCAGTCAATAATCTCTGATTCTGAACTCACTTTCTGACAGGAAAGCTGCACTGATCTCAGCAGCACAGGGTTAGAGCTTTAGACCTCCGCCTTGCAAATCAGTCCCAGTGGGCAGTTAAAACCTACAGTATAGGTCTGGTCAGAGCTTTTTGTTTTTATAAACTACCATGGCCCCTAGTATCAACAGCCAAGGGAGTCAGTAGAAGGACTCCTGTTGATCTCACTGTTCAAGGCTGAAATGCCCATGCAGTTTTTCCTGCTAGGAAATCCTTCTGAGCTTTAATGAGGCAAAAAAAGATCCAGGTGCAAGATCCTTTCTTCACTAATGCACTGTCAGC